CACCGCATAACTTTTGCTTTTTTTCCCCCCTCCTCACCACTTTTTTTTCATGCCCCTGGGCACAGACACCACAAGGCAATTTTCTAGGTTGAATACATGGAGCTAAAGGATTCATGTTGATTTATTTTTAAATATAATCTTGATTTCTGAGAAATGGGTTTACGGGTACACCATCAATCAATCTCTTTGGGCGAGGTGTGGTTCTTAAAAGAACCGGTGAGTGTTAAGAAACTGAAACTGATCTCAACTGTGTTTGGGTCCATTTCTTCTGAGTGATCTTCAGTATAAAAACTGTGAGGCGTATAGTCAATGTTTATTTTTGATGATTCAATAGATGGCACATTAGGGCGGCACACGCCTCCCTATTTCCCTAAAGAGAAATTCTCACAAAAAATACGTCCCAAATCTTCTTGGGTTTAACCCAACGTTGCAACAAATGCGTGGCAACTGCTGCTCGTTTTTGTGAATGGATGCATTACTGGCCAGACAGGTCTGCCCAAAACACACCAGCAAAAAAATGATGAATTTAACTGAAAAGAAACGAACAATCCCAAGATGCTGGAATTTCAACAACAGAAAATGACATCGAGAATGCAATGGATGTCAAATCAGTCAAGCCTTTGGTTTTATCCCATACTCGCCGCGAAAGGCGCACAGCCCATTCAGTTTTCTACCCAGGGCAACCCGCATTAAATTTAATTTTGATCTGATTGAAACTTAATGTTGTCATTTTAGTTAATCCTTGGCTCATTGGCCAAAAGTTTAATATTGGAATTCGACAAAAATGGCACTGCAAAAAGTCACCTTTACCTAGACACCTATGTCTTTTTTCGAACTCAAATAGAATAGTGCCAAAATGTACCTGTCATTTCGCAAAAGTTTCTACAAATCAAATAAAACTATTGACCCTTCCGTATTTCCCTATCAGTTGCTGTGCATGAAAACGGCATGACGCAACACCGTCTTTGGAGTGGCAGTAAAACTCCGCAAGACAAAGCGAAACTCATTTCACTAAACAAACCCAAGACTGAAGTAATTCGAATTTTACTCATAACTAGTATACAGGGGGTTGTTCATGCACCATCATGAATGAAAGGGCCTAGAATTGACAGTTACTCACTCAAAGCCATGGATTAAACTCTGTGTGTTTTCAAAATGTAGCTTTTTACATATCTTAAACGTGGTTTAAAACGCGTTGCTTTTTACCCTGAATAAAACGCCAAACACAAATAATTCGGCAGATACAAGGTGCCATCGGAGGATAGATTTTTTTGAGTAAACGATAAGATGGCCTTTATGTGAATGTGCAAAGACAAAATTTCGCTAAATATTAGCAGGGCGCGTCTCACGTCCGCAAATAAATACGGCGCCCGAGCGCGATGCCACAACACATCATTTAAGAACTCGAGTCTCTCACTTCCTTTGTTTATTAGGATTTGATGGTTAAATCTTTGCATTTTTCGGTCGAATAACGGAATGACGAAATAAGAAAACTCCCAAGGTATTGTAAGCTGTTTCTGTACCAAAATAGGCCCTTCACATTAACGAAACATTAATTTTGCACAGTTATGGGCAGACCTGCCATTTTGCATCGACAATGCTTTTTGCACTCCTGCAAAACAGACGTGTGATTTTGACACGCGCAGTAGAAAATTGATAATTATTTTGCTTTTTTCTTGTATTTACAATTTGCCCGAAATATACATTTGTCTATACTTTACAATCGGTTGTCATTTTTTTTTTTCATATTCCATAAAAAACCCCGGAAAACACACGCCAGACGGCACGGTAGACGCAGCGTTGGGTCTATGCACGCGGTCTGCGCTCCAGCTGGACATGACAACATTGACCGGAGGAGCATGGGTGGGGCTTGTGGAGCGTATGGCTATTGCCAAGGGTTCCAACAATTTTGTTTGGGATTGTAGGCGTTAATACCGGCCACACGGGCAAGGCCCTGGGATGCAGGCTATAGCTCTAAGTCATTTTTTCTCAGCCGGTTAAGACCCTGGTTTTTTGGTTAGAAGAGTGATAGATTGCATTCGGAATACCATTCCTGTTTCGTCTTCGATGCCAGCCTCACAGACGATCTCAAACTCCAACTCAGAAATATTGGCTATTGGTGCCACGCGGCCATTCTACAAAGAAAAAACGGGAAGAAGAAGAAGTGAACCTCTTTTCTTCGAGATGAGCGAAGGCAGGAAGCCTTGAAATGGCTCAGGATCACTAAGGATCACTAGCCCTTCGCAAAAGTAGAAACAATTCCCGCAAGTCCAGCTTTAGCAAAAATATGAGCTACAAGTAGCACTGCTGTTTATGCGCACAAAGCTGCCTTGTTTTACAAAAATCCATTCCCATTGCCACCTCGTTCTCAGTCACATGAAAAATGCAGCAGCCTGCCTTTTCCCACTTATTGTTACATAGACATGTGTGCAATTTTCAACAAAGAGGTGTTACTAAATTAGGCTGAAGAAACAAGAATTCGTTATACGTACAGAATACCTTATTTATGGAATAATGCGTACGCTATAATCCTTATAAAAAGACATTCAGATGTCGCACCGTTATATCTTTATCTTTCTGTGACATAGGGTCTGTACTAGACGAGCTCCCAGTCGACCAGTTGTCCATTTCCTTCTCCCCTGGACACCACATTCCCGTCTCCACGTCACCCCCGGCCAGAAACGCATCCGAGATTCTCCTCGGGGTAGTAACGTCGGCCAAGGCGTCCGCTGTCTTGGCGGTGCCACTGGTCTTGTTCGGCGATCGGCAGTTTTTGCACAGGATGACTAGGGTTATGGTGAAGATGACCAGAAGAAAAACTGACGCGAGCAGAACGATGGCTACGATGAAAAACACCTGGTTGATTGGAGGCCTCTGGCTTGGATGGTCAACTGCCACAGCGAACCAAACGTATTTCAAAGGTTTCTACATAACTTTAATTTGTAAAAGACCGAATCGTCACACCAAGAACTTTTTTTTGGGGGGGGTGTGGATATTTGTGTTGTTTTCTGGGTGACCAAAATCATGAAAAAGTTTGTATACATAGCCATTTAAGTTCTTTGAGGGGCGGGGCTATAGTGAGCGTTTTACATGCTTTCCGAAAGAAAAATGAAACAAAATAAAAATTGTCTTTCGTTTGTTATTTTCCCCCCAAAAATGGGGTGTCCTTTTTGGGGGGGAGGGGGGTGTTGCCCCCCACTGGATCATCCCTTGGAAGGCTCTTTTAATGTTAAGTTCTTAACTTTCAGGGAAACTGCAAAAAAGGATGAAATTTTGGCATTATAATTCAGCAAATGATAATTTTTTCTGTATTTTGGCTAACTGCAACCTTGCGCTTGAGAGGAAACATCTATGTCTCTAAAAGTGTTCAGCATAACACGTCATTCAGTCAAAAGATAAATTCAAGTAATCTGAAACTAAACAGCACACATTATGTTTCCATTGCCAGCATTCATCCCCTGTTGACCAGACTTGGTATTTGCTGCACTTGGTTTGACTTGTAATGGGCACCACTACACTGTAAATGCGTGATTTGTCGCTGGGTTAGTCCGGGCAAAACACTTTTTGTGCTGTCAGTCTCTGACACCTCTTTAGACAGAGCCTAAGTTTAACGATGCCTCTCCACTTGAAAAAAATCCCTCATCTCTGTCCTCAACTCAGCTCCAACCCTCCAAACCTCCGGTCCCCGATATAATCACCTTACCTGGCTCGCAATATCTTCCCGGAATTACGTCTTGATGGTTTAGGTCCCTGTATCCTTCACTGCATACACAAGTGAAGCGTGTCGGCTGGTCATGACAGGTAGCATACTCAGAGCAATCATGAAGATTCTGTGCACACTCATCAAGAGCTTCGGAAAAAAATAGGCCCCGTCTGAATCACTTAGTGACAGCCTGAAATTGCACGCGACTCTATGGGAACTGGCTGCAGTCACCCACTACCATAGACTTGTGCGTAATTTCAAGCCGCTGCCAAGTAATTCAGATACGGCCCAACAGTAGAGAAAACTTCTGCATATTTACTCAATAAAAAATGCATCACTACTTGACTCCGTATGCTCCTATGTAGCGCTAGAAAAAAAAAAAGATTCATTCCAAAAAGACTGTATCATCATTATTTTGAAACTGCTTCAGTGGTTTCCACAAAGACTAAAAAACTTGCTTGGTTAACTTTGAAAGAGACTTACGAGTCACAAGTACGGAATTTGCAGCCACAATAAAGCCCCCATGGTTCAGAAAAGTCCCATTTTCCACGGCATTAGTGAGCACGATTTCCAGGTTAGTGTCATTCCAAGACGATCGCCCGTCCATGATGATCTGCACCTCGGTGACGATACTACCGGGCCTGAATCGAATCACATCACAGCCTCGATACAGTGTCTCTGTTCTGGAGTCTTGCTGAAATACGAAGTCGATCTGTAAAATATGAAACGTTCAAAGTGACTTAAAAATCTGGCAAAATGTATACGAGAGGTACATACGCTAGAGGTGCCAAAATATGACCCGCTCTCAACATTCGTCGAACATCATTCGTAAGTTCACTGCATGGTACATTGAACACGCCATACTCATAAACTGACATTTGATACTGAAATAATGTCACTGTAGGGTGATTATATTCCTGTCAGTTTAATATTATCGAGGAAATTTTAATATTCCTTGAATTTGATTGGAAAGGAAGTTGTGTAAATCAAAGACTACGGACCTATGAATTCTTCGAATTTTGTTTTACAAAGAAGAGACTTGAGAGCACTTACCGTATTTCTTATGAGTTCAGAAAGCTCTAGAAAACTTGTTGTATTTGGATCTTCTAGGTCTGGAGTGTAAGTAGCTGGTATCACATTGTTTTCTTCGTGAATAAAAGCATCTATCTTTAGTCTTCCGAAGAAAGAGATTCCCTCTAGGAAAAGGAATATTTCAAAGGAAGTCAGAATTTTAGTTTGAATAAGTGAAACTTGAAAATTGAACGGAACCTTGCATGAGGGCAACAAGGCCTCAAGATGTCTTCGTTTATTCGGGAATTTTAGCAGCAGTATCCTCCGTTTGTCTTTTTCACCTTGGGATATTTCGGAAGAAATGTCTTTTTTTTCAATTGCTCCCTTGAAGCAACTAGGTACAAAACAGTCAAAAAGCTCGATGCCAAGATATTTCAAAATCCTATTATGTTGTCTATGTTCTGGTTCCATTTCCAAGTAATATGATCGGTCATTCATTGCTCACGTGTCACTGAAGCAATGCATCAATTGCCGCATTACAAAATTAGAAGTTCTATTCCAAATGTAAATGGAAGCTTTATTTTTTGTCACTTGGTGACATTAAGGGCTTAGCCATATCAAATTAAACATTCCCTCGGTCACTTCATGAAATTATTCTTACCATCACACTCATACACAGTCATTATTTGTATAATAATACGGCCGTTTCACAATAGTGCGCCACCAAGAGTTTGCAACGCGTTGGCCAATCACAGTGTGCGAAATTTGTCGACCCAATGCGCGTTTGGAAAGGGTCGACAAATTTCGCGCGTTATGATTGGCCAACGTGCTGCAAATTCTTGGTGGGGGCTATTGTGAATCGCCCGTATTATAGATATACATGGTGAGATTCGACGAGCGAACATACTTAGAAACCAGTACTGCGGTAGCACCACGCTCGTGGAAAGGTGGCAGTCGCGCGTTACATACCTCTCCGACCAATAGGATTCTTTGAGTTTGCAAATGCATGCGCGCGTCATGTGTACAAGTGAAGTGTGGCGCCATCGCAGTTGAGCCGTTTCCTCGGATTGCTCTCTATGATGATCTTTATTTACCACTACAGGCGCCAGTTTGGTCTCTGTAAAATCCCCGTCTGCATTTGCAGCGATAGGCGTCCTTCGTATCAACGCACGTCTCTGTGATCAGGTGACAACTGAAGGCTTGCAGCAGGTCGCACTCATTGACTACAAACGTAAAATAACATCCTTGTGAGCACAGAACATATTAAAACCATATTCACAATTTCAACACATGTCACTTAATAAAAAAAATAAGACTACAATCAGTGGTGAAACTACAAGAAGGGTGGAACAAAGGAGCACGACTCCCCACCCCCCCAAGAATGCCGTGCCCCACCCCCATTTGAAATTTTGAAGTGAACACAAGTGAGCAAATTTCTGCTTTTGGTGCTCTCTTGAAATAACCGCTTGCACCCCCTGGGAAATCAAAGTGGGATAGGCATACAAGTTGTCATGTGAGCTTTGTGGCATTCCCACGAAAATGCTTTTACCTCTATTGTCAGTCCTGATGTCCTCAGTGATCAGCGCAGCTGCAGTTGCCTCTGCATGAGGCATTTCGGAAGTCGAGCTTCTTCTGCTAATCAATGGTACAGTTGCAGATGTTTCCAGGGGCGAAGATGTAGATGCTACCGAAGGGAAAGCAGACGATATCGATACAGGAGATCCACTCATTTGAGAAACGGACACAGTTGTCGATTCAAGCAAGGGGATTGTTGATTCTGATAAACGAGTACGAGATTCCAGTTTAGGAGCAGCTGAAGATTCGGGCAAGGGAGTTGTGGATTTTGACAAACGAGAAGTAACAAGTTCAGGCACGGAAGAAGTTGATGATTCGGTCGAGGGAACGGTGGATTTTGTTGACGACGGAGTTCGTTTGGACACATAAGAATATGTTGACTCAGGCAAGGGAGTTGTGGATTCCAACAAAGAAGCTCCGAGTCCAGGAATGAGAGAGGTTGAAGATTCGGGCAGGGTAGCTGTGACAGTTGTGGATTCAAACATTTGGGGAGCAGTCATTTCGACCACGGGAGAAGTTGGTGATTTGGGCAATGATGCCATTGATTTCAACAGAGAAGAAGTGGTCAGTGGGAGCATGGAAGAAGTTGCGTCAGGCATAGAAGTTGGTGTATGCGAGATTCTTGTGGATTTCAAAGAAGGAGAAGTATCCATTTGTGGAAATGAAGTTGTTGATTTCAACAAAGGAGAAGTTGACATTTTGGGCATGATAGGAGAAGATGCTGCTGCACGCAAGAAAGTTGTGGGTTCCAACTGAGAGGACGGCGTCGGTTTGGACGTAGGAGCAGTTGTTGATACAAGCAAGGTTGGTGTGGATTTCAACAAACCACCGACAGGTCTACTCAGTTCAGGCATAAGAGAAGATTTATGCAAGGAGGTTACAGATCCCATCACAGGAGAAGTCGATTCAGGAGGCGATGCTGATGAAGACACTGTCGATTTCGCTGAAGAAGTACTTAGTTCAGTAGAGAGAGTAGTTGTTTCCAACACAGAAACAGTTGTCGGCGGTGCCATGGCTGAAGTTCCAGAAACTACCAGAGAAGAGGCTGATTGAAAAATTGGAGTACTTGATGCTTCCAACATGGAAGCAGTGGATGAGTCTAGTGAGGGAGAAGTTGTAGATTCCCGACCAGATGTACTTGATGATTTCATCATGTGAAAAGTTGTTGCCCAAATGAGAGAACTCAATGAGGAGGAAAAATCGGTTGATTCCTGCATAGCTGGCCCTGTTGATTCCACCGTGGTTGAGGCTGTTGATTTCGAAATGGGGATAGCTTGAGAAGAAAGCATTGGAGAAGTCTCAGGTTGTAACATCGGTGACGTTGACGATTCCAGAGTGGGAGTGGCTTTGGAGGACGGCTCCAAAACAGGTGATGTTGTCGATTCCAGTCTGGCAGTAGCTTGGGGAGATGACCCAAAAAATGTCGAATCCCCACTTGATGTAGCTTTGGATGATGTTTCCACAATAGGGGACATTGTTGATTCCAGAGAGAGAGAGAATTTTGAGGAGGACTCCAAAATAGGTGATGTTGTCGATTCAAGACTTGATGTAGCTCTGGATGACGTTTCCACAGTAGATAACGTTGTTGGTTTCAGAGTGGGAGTGGCTTTGGAGGACGGCTCCAAAACTGGTGATATTGTCGATTCCAGTGTGGCAGTAGCTTCGGGGGTTGACCCCAACATGGGTGACGTTGTCCATTCCAGACCTGCAGTAGCTTTGGAGGACGGCTCCAAAACTGGTGATATTGTCGATTCCAGTGTGGCAGTAGCTTCGGGGGTTGACCCCAACATGGGTGACGTCGTCCATTCCAGACCTGCAGTAGCTTTGGAGGATGGCTCCAAAATAGGTGACTTTGTCGATTTCAGTCTGAAAGTAGCTTTGGAGGACGGCTCCAAGAGCGCTGATGTTGTCAATTCAGGAATGGCAGTAGCTTTGGAGGATGACTCCAAAATAGGTGACAATGTCAATTCCAGAGTGGAAGTGACTTTTGGAGGTGATCTGAAAATAGGGAGCGTTGTCGATTCCAGCTTAGGTGTGACTGGTTCCAAGAGCGCTGACGTTGTCAATTTCTGACTGGGATCAGCTTTGGAAGATAATTCGAAATAATTTATAGGTGACACTGTTGATCCCACACTGATAGCAACTTTGGGCGATATAGTTGAAGTTGTATATTTCTCAATGGGAGTGGCTTTTAAAGATGAGTCCAACCTGGATGACGTTTTCAATCCTTGCATGGAAGTTGCTTTTGGAGATGATTCTGAAGTAGATGACGAATTCGATTTCACACTTGAAGATGCTGTCGGTGCTATATAGGGAGTAGTTTTAGGATACAACATAGGGGAAGTTATTAATGCCAATATAGGTGAAGTTGCTGATTCCGGAGTGGGAGAAGTAACTGGTCCTACTACAAGTGAAGTTACTGATTTCGCTCTATGTGAAGTTACTGATTTCGCTCCAGGTGAGGTTACTGATTTCGCTCCAGGTGAGGTTACTGATTTCGCTCCATGTGAAGTTACCACCTCACTACTCTGGGAAGATGCCGACTCTGTTATGGTAGAGGTTGGTGATTCCAGTATGGTCGAAATTGCCGAATCCAATATTGGATTTGTTGTTGACGGCACTGAAGAACTGTTAAACCCAAGCATATGAGAATTTGTCGACTGCAAAACAGAAGATGTTGTCGACCCAAGCATCGGGAAGGTTTTTGATGCACTGATTTTAGAGGTTGGGGATTGCATGGCGGGAGCTGTATATTCTGATGAATGTATGGAATGTTTTGTAGATTGTTGTGTTGGGGAAGTTGTTCTTTTAAGCACGGTAGAGGCAGCTAATTTCAATATTGGTGTAGTCACTGATTCCATTGTGGCAGAAGTTGCTAATGACAAGACAGTAGAGGTTTCTGGTTCCGACCTTGGGGTGGCAGATTTGCAGAGAGAACCCGACAACACAGGGGAAGTTTTCGATTCAAGCACGGGGTTAGTTACTGATTCCAATGTGAATTCAGTCGTAGATTCAGGCATTTGCTTTGATGTAGATTCTGGTAGATTCCACCTGGATGTTACTGGTAACTCCATGGGCTCAGTATTCAATTCACGCAAGGGTTGAGTTGTCGAATGCTGAAAGGGGGAAGCCACTGTTTCCAATATAAGTTCGGTTGCTGATTCCAACGTGGGCTCAGCTGTCGATTTTAACATATGAAAAGCTGTCGATTTCGACGTTGGAGGAGTTGTTGTTTTTAACAATGGAGAAGTGTTAGTTTCCAAATGACGGGAAGTAAAATCAAGCTTGGCAGGAGTTGTTGTTGTCGGGCTAATTTCTTCAGTGTTAGAATCTAACTCCGGTGACATGGTAAGGGGCCAGAGAATCCTGGGTATTTGCTCAGTTGACGGTTTGATTGTGGTTGATGTTGCTGTAGATTTGCCTGGTTTCATGGGTACAGTAGCCGAGGTAGTTGTTAGGGATATAACGAGGTCGCTTGAAACTGATGAAGGCAACGAAAGAATTCTCGACGGTTCAGACAAGCCGTGAGATGTTGGAGATGTCAGCCCAAATGGATTAGAAGTTGAACTTGTAAACACTGTTGCTCCCTCGGTCGCCGTTGGCGAAACCCCAGCCACCATTTGGGTAGGAAAATTCGTTGGGGGTAATTGGGTGACAGTGGATTTAGCTGTTGACGCCTTTTGGTTCGGAGGAGATTTAGATGTGGCCACGATCTTTTCCATTTCTGTAGTTGGCGATGTTGCAGAAGCTTCTGGCATTGGTTGCGATGAAATTCTGTGTCCTAATGTCGTCTGGCTATAAAAGCTCGTTGCGAATTGACTCGTAGAGCTTGGGGAACCCTCTGTTGACATTTCAGAAACTGTGTATTTGTCAGTTAATGATTGGCCCACGTTGTCTGTCATTTCATACGTATTTGTGGAGAATTTTAAAGTAGAAGCGCTCTCTGATTCCATTGGAGTAGTGGCAAACTTATTTCTAGTGGATGCTGTAACGGAAGGAATGTTTGTTTCTACAACTCCACTTTTAGCCGATAATGTTATTCTCTCATGTTTATCCTGAAGTATTGGAGGTGATAAGTGTTCATTTTTGGGAGAATCCGTCAGGGCACTGTTATCTTTGTTTGGGTTTTGGAAAAGGAAGGATGTTGGTATCAATGCATCCGTTGACTTCTTAGTTGAACTCACTGTTGCCAGATTTGCAAACTTTGTTGATTGTAACGAAGATTCAGGTGATGTTTGAGGATCGGTCACAATCGAAGTTCTTCCCTGTAATTTAATCCATGGATGTCTTTCTTCAGTGAATCCGCTATTTGACTCCGTAATGCCGTGACGTATTCGAGTCTGCACTGGAAGCTTGGTGACGTCACTGTCGGTCTGACGTGCAAGCGGGGAATACTGGAGAGTCGTCAAGGTTTTGTTGGTAACTTCCATTGTGCCATTTCTTACAGACGAATTTCTTTGACCCTGTGATAAAGTTGAGCGATCGCTAAACTCTGAATAGGTACTAATCTCGTCGAAAGTAGGACTGGGGGAGTTCGTTGAGGTTGACACCCCTTTCCGATGAACTGTAGTTGACCTGTGGTTGAATGATTCGTGTGAAGTGGCAAGGCCGACTGCCTCGGAGTTGGAGGCAGACGGCATTACAGATTCTTCGAAAGCTGTGTTTGTTGTTACGCTGTCAGGCACAGAGGTTGAGATGAATTGAACACTTGCGGTTTCCCTAGAAACAATCTCTTCAGTGTTGCTACTTGGAGATGTGACAGATTTATCAGGCGGGGCGTCTGGCGTGGTTATCAATTCATCATCTGTCGTCTTCGTTCGATGTTTGTCTGTGGTGGGTTTGTTCTTGGGTGTGCTTGATGGGTCAGAATGTTCCGTTGATTCATGACGCTTGTGGTTGGAATTTATCTCTATTTTAGGCTTCCTTTCATGGGAGGTGGGCATTGTAGTTTTTGCTTCATCAGTCACCTCTGCTTCATGTTTGAGTTGAGTTACGGAGGCTTCCGTGGAAATTTGAATGTTAGCATTGTGAGCGGATTCATGCACAGTGCGGTTCATGCCCGTCGCCATGGTAACTTTGTCAACTGGCGATGCGGGTGACGTAGAGAGCATTTCACTAGCCAACTTTCCTTCGTGTTTGTTTGGAATGGGCGTGGTCCTTCTAGAATTTCCAGTGTTAGAATATGGAAAGGTCTCCTGAAATGTGCTATACATGAGATCGTCTCCTGAATACAGGGGGATGTCTTTTGCTGTCACTGGTATTTTCCCGCCAAGGGGAAATATGTTAGGCACATTCTTTGTAGAATAGACTCTTGATGTTTGAAGCCCCGAACCACTGTCCTGGGTTTGACTCTGATTCCTTGGTCTTGCGTCATTTACGGTAACTGGGCTTTCGGAAATCACACTTAGTGAACGAGGGGTGGCACTTGACGTCGTTTTCATGTCGTCTGGGGACTCATGACCTGAAACATGGAGGAAGGAAAGTTCCATGGCTGAACCGTCTTCGAAGAGGTGGGACGACGACTTATCCGTTATGGCCCGGCGTGCATATTCTGTAAGAGGCTTGCATGTTACTACTTCAAGTAATGCGCATAAGAAAATCAGAACGTAGACAATCCCAGCCTGAGTAGCGCCGCTTGGCAATAAATGCCGCCTCGGTTTGGAAGTAGTGCGCTTGAATGGGAGTTGTTCACCCGACGACCGTTTCCTATGGATTTGGGAATTCGGAGCAGCGCTTGAGGTTCCCAGTGGACCGTTCTCTGGTTGAGCCATTGTCAAGAATCCATGTAATTGAGGCTGAGCTCCCTGTTGTGAATTTGGCGATGGCATTCTTGAAGAATCTGTAGTGGAAGATGATGAATAGTAGAGGTTATTTACAGTGCTGTCCATGACTTTGGGTTTTCCTCAGTTATAAAAACTACCGTATTAGTCTCTCCTATCAGTGTGGAGCTCCTGGGACATCTCTTACTTTGGGTGGTGTGTGGGTAGTGGGGGAATGAAAATTTCTTTTAATTTAAAGGGTAAGTTGTCAAATGTATGTCTTAATTGTTTTATCTTCCTTAAATTCCTTCACGGGAGAGGCGGCTCAGGCCCCTCGCCAAAGCCCGTCCAAGACCTCCTTGGCTTCATGACTGCTCAACAGTCTTTTCAATTACAAATTGTTTATTTCAAGTTCGGTCTTGACAAGGATGGGAATCATTCTGACGGAAAATACCAAAGAGCAAAAAACAAAGAAACAAAACATACCCCTAAAATAAAAAAAACCACACAGGCAGCTCAAACATCAAAATCTGATTTGCAGCTTTACTCTTGGCCAAAATTCATGGGATTTTCCGGTGTGCCAGTATGTTAGTTCAAATTAGCAAGACAAGCAGTGATATACCTGTGCGTGAACATTGTTCTACAGAAACACTGTAGGTCTGAGACACCACGAAAATTGAGTTCACCAATACTGGTGCATGCATGAACCTGACTGAACTAAAAAAGATAGAATCTAAGAGTGAATTGAGGGTGGATTCGCATCAAACGAGAATGGACTGAAGGGAACCTTGCCAGCAACGGGTGCTTTTTATTGGGCAATTATCGGTCTCTTTTCAAATGTCTTTGAAAGAGTAAGCAAACGGAAATCCGAAAGAAAAGGTACAGAGGGAAGGGGTGTTTACTGGGGCACATGACCCGGCTATAACGAGGACGGTGCATGCAGCTTGCATTGATGGATCCCGTCCGTGTAACAAGTTTGATTTATCGCCTGACACTTAACACGGCCGGTGGCAAAATAATGTTTGTGTTGCTGGTTGATAAATGAAGTGAGCAAAGGCGTTAGAATGTTGGTATAAACGGAAAGGCGCTAAATCAGAACGTAAACCTAAGAGTTGTACGATGGAGTGCCAGCTTTCAAGAACGTTGGTATTGAAGAGTTTGAGTTTGTCCGGGATGTGATGTCTGGTACATCATCTCTATCTTTTCACAGCCTAGTGAAATACGGAAAACTACATCGATATTTCCCTTTGCATTGTAAATTGTGTTAAGTCGCTGAACACCGATCAAATCGTGCAGTTGATGGCTATATCTGAAATCCTGAACAATCTGTCCGATGAATTTGTCGATATTTCAATTTGTCTTTTTTTTTACCCATTATCTGTTCGAAGTAACACAGGTCAGATGGAATCATTTATCAGGGTATTAATCAATCAGTCTGAGTGTACAGTACAGTACGTGCCCTACCATAAAGCACATGTTATAGTGCACATTCCTCTCCAGTTCCACTCACGTGGTAACCTTCAAACTTCATATACATGAACATTTCCTCTTTGATAAAGCAATGAGATATCCAAAGCAACCGGAATATTGTAATGCCGTAGCCCTATCCCATCAACACACACTGAAAATAATCCCTAAACACTAAGTTTCAAGTAAAGTCATTCTTGCAGAATTCATCCACTGGTGTTGTTAACTTGTTTGTTCTCCAGAAAGATAAAAGTCAAACATTCTGGGATAAACAGACCACTGATTGATTGATGGTTGTCTCCTGATCTCACAGAGCGTCAACACATTCTGCTTTTCATTCGGAATCATTTTGACATTTTGTACAACTTCATTATTTATTTCAGTTTGATTTCTGATGTTTTCCCGAGTGCCAATGTCGGGGTGTACAGGGGGGTCGAGAAACAGTGAAGAATGTCTTTTGAATTTCTCAAAGGCTAACTATGGACATATATTATATAATGTCAGAGATTAACGAAGCGACTGCCTTCGAGACACGCTTTGAACAAGATGTACTGAAATAAATGCGCTTCCTATTTAGAACAAATTCACCGACAGACGTTTCATGGAAAAGACATTTCAACTCTGCCAAATTTAGAAAACTTCAGTGAACCTAAGACAGAAGTGTTCCTCAGAGCGTAGGCCTAACGGGGTGTTTCTTATATGACTATCGTAACTCCTTTTTGAGGAACGGCTGTACCCACACTGTACTCAAACAGAACTTTGATGACCATACAGATAGTAGATGATCCTCTTCTAAAGCATTTTAGAGTAATCAACGAATGAATTTCAAAATAAAAGTCGTGCCTCGATAACTTTCATGCATGTGCATGAGGGTGGGTGTCTGCACGTGCACAAATGCCCATGTGCATGTAGGTCAACATCCGTGCCGTCTGTGCATTTAATTGAAGGTTGTACCATAACCCAGCAATCTTTTCAAGTCAGGGACATTGGCGATTAGTGAATGGAAGATAATGTTCCTGCGTCGTAAAACCTATCATTACAACAGCCTAGTATCGCGTCGGACACATTGCTCTTTAAAAGTCACTTGACCTCGGTAAAGGTCACTATTACGTCTCGTTAGCTGGTTCAGCGGCCCCCTTTTTATTTACGAGTATAATGTCTTGGTGATGTCAGGGGTAACTCGACCCCCTAATCACATCATATCCCCTGGAGGCACACACTCCGTGTCCAAATTCCACGCAGGCGAACCAGTTGAAAGCACTTTATGGAATACCCATAAATATTTTAAGAAAGTCTGTGGAAGATTATATGCCGATGTCTGTATATGCATCAATGCAACAAATACTGCTTATTATGAGTACTCGCAAGCTCCATCTCAAAGGAATTTAAGCCCGCAAATGCTACGAATATTAACCAGTGACATGTACTCTTTTTGTCCATACACTGGGCCCGGTTTTGATAAATGTGAAGTTTTATCTTAAAGTCTTGGAAGCCCGAGAGCATCTGACTGTAGTTCGCAAATATCCAAAGGTGGCAGTGGTACTGTTGGATACTTTCCTTTAAAAAGTGTCCGTTTTGTGCTTGCTTGTTTTTGGCGCTTTGAAATAAGAATTATAAATTGAAATACCGAAAAAGGAGGCACAATACGCGCATCTGGAGGCTAATTTATGTAAACTCCATTGGTCTAATCATTAAAATGAAATAGATGTATAGAGATTAGATGTAAAACCACTTTTAGCGAATTCTTCAGTTTATTAAATAACGCAACAACAAACCTTCGCTGTAAATTCAGCAAGTTTCGCATGGAGAAAGTGGCCTGAAGTCTAAAACCACGTCAACAAAATAACAAAATTGGATTTTGACGCCAAGATCGGCAAAAGTTCTGAAAACGAATTCAACGTGATGAGTATCACACAGGGCCGTTTCTGCCAATCAAACGATTCCAATTATCGTTAGAAAAGACTTTCACAGTGGTGCAAATTAAATTGCAAGCAAGTGTCGCCAGCATCGGCAGCATACCGTTAACCTTGGGACGGCTTTTATTACCGCTGTTACCGGACCACGTCAACGGATTCCCAATTAATCCATCGTGGTGTTATTTTTGCCTAAGTTGCAACATTTCAAACAACTCTTCATGGAGCCATAATTCCCGCGGTGTCAGTGACCCTTCTGAGATTCGTTCTGACAATGTGCCCTACTTCTGTTTTCGTCTACTTTTCCATGTCCTTGATCAAGAACGAAATCTGAAATCAATAAAAGGCAAGTATGGTGGAAATGTCAGGGGAAATTTGACAGATTTTGTTTCCGTAGAGCAGTGTGTCACATCGGCGCGGTTGTATTTCCTGTGTGGGCCGTTTCTGGTCAGTCAACTCTGCCTCTATTTTTCACTGTGATGAGGGGTGTGGTGGATCGACGAGCTACCACTTCACTGGTGCAGGGTGTCCACAAAACAGTGCAAGTAAATGGTGTCTTTAATATTTGAACACAAAATGCCAACTGGCGGTATTTGTACTTGCCACTGTTAGCTTGACAATGCTTTTATTTCATCTTATTTGCTTGTGGCGATCCAGAGATAATATGTCAGTAAACACAAGAAATGAAAACAGAGTTTGTGACACATTTTAGTCTGATCACTAGACCTGATGGAAAACAAAACTCGTATTTCACCTTTACGATGCTGACAGCGTTACGCATATTGAGGCATGCTTGAATGGGGGGACCCTTTTTACTGAAAAGCGGCACAACTTGATTTTAAGAGCCTGTGTTTATTATAGGGCATTTTAATGGCTCGCTGACCAAATAAGATGAAATAAAAAGTTGAAACACTTGAAAAGTACTTTTGCGTCTCATAATCCTATCGTTAATTGTTACTGTAAAGTGTGTTTTGTTGCTTTTTGGTGTTATGCTGATGAGAATTCACATTCTTCATGAGAAAAACTGTCATGTCATCCTTGGAAAAAAACTTCGATGTTACATCGATTGTTCGCACAAAAATGCTGGATTTTTCATATTTTGCTTGCCTCTATTTCCTTTTGTGTCAAGTGAAGTTAATTATCAAACTACATTTAGTTGGGCTTACTATCTTTTCAGACTCTTGGTACACCTGCTACATGCTCGCGTATACCTAAAAAAATTTTAAAAGTCCTGACGTCAAATAAATAAGCAGGTTTTTGAACGGCTCGGAAATATTTTAAAGCGAGAAATATTTAAACCTCTGACTGGTTGAAACTTATATTCTTAGCAGTCAAAAAACAATGCTCAACAAACAGGATTTAACTCCATGCGGAAGAAGGCGCCAAGTTGCCAACGTGAAGACTTTGTACAGGCCTACACGAGTAGTTGTATAGCTCCATGGTTACCGTACATGTGACAGCAATACTGCGCATGTGGTCCAACCCTAAGATGCTGGTCTAAATTTAAAGCTGATTAACTTTCATTTTCGGTGGGACGAATACTCGATTTTTTTCCACTTTGCAATGTTAGGTAATAACTAAAATTCCAAGGTTTCAGAAATTCCAAGTACACTCAACAGTCTGGTGTAGAACTGGGTCGGGGAGGCCGACTTATTATGCGCCGTGCTCTCTGCCCAGTCACGCGTCGGTTAAATCCCGCC